TATAGCATATATATATATAATTAGAATTATTAGTATAGAATTATTATAGAATTATTATAGAATTATTATAAAATTATTATAGAGTTATTATAGAATTATTATAAAATTATTATAGAGTTATTATATAATTATTATAGAATAATGTAGAATAGTATAGAATGACACTGATATAGCATTGAACAGTATAGAATAGTATAGAATAGTCTAGAAATACAACACTACATTTAATAAATTAAACATGATAACCGCGACAGCGTCTGTTGTATTAAAATTAATATTTATTTATTGATAATTCAAATATTACTCTTCTATACTTCTTATTAATCTTTTAGATATTTGTTTAAATACTACAAACTTCGCCACACTGGGTGTGACCTAATTTTTAGAAACAATTGACATAATATTTCTAAGTTCTTTAAATGCTTGATAAAACAACAAAATTATCGTTTAAACCATTCCTCTTTCAATTATAGTATTTAAACAATAGAAAATTATACTCACAGGTCTGGCAGTCTGAATCCCATATGGTCCAAAATAGTATTCCCTCCCATAAGCGACGATAGCGGTATGCCATATACCTTCCACGTGTCGACCTAAGCACAATTAAATATTTCTTAATTAGATTACGCATTTGTAATACATATAACGCATCTGTAATGCAACAATGGAATGAACTAATATCAAGGTGTCACAATCGTTACTTTCGAATTGCATCATTCGTGATCTTGCTGCTTGGAAAAATTGTCCTCAAGATTAACTATAGTAATTAGGCTATCCACGCGAGTCATACGTGTCAAAACGTGACAGAATAGTTTTGACAGCGGTGCCAAAAGAAACATCCGGGAATGTTAGCTATAGCTTCGAAATGATTGGCATAAGAACATAGCTCTACACTTAAAGTCACTCCTAAGAAAGTGTGTAAATGACTGAACTGCCATTCAATTCTGCACAATATAATATTCTGGATATCTTTCGCATGTGAGACAACGAACAAAAATTGACTATTTTCTATTTTATACATTCTACTGTATCTTGCATTTTCTATTTTATATACCCCATTGTATTTTGCATTTTCTATTCTATTCTATTATATTATATTATATTATATTTTCTATTATATTGTTATATTTCCTATTGTGTCGTGTACTCATTGTTTTCTACTTTACACGATTTTATAGTTTCCATTTTCTGTTTTCTATTTCTTATTATATTTTGGATTTTCTACTTTTCATTTCCTACGATATCTTACATTTTCTACGGACTATTTTCAATGTCCTATTATATTTTAAATTTTGGATATTCTACTTTTCATTTCTTATGATATCTTGCATTTTCTATGGACTATTTCCAATACCCTATTATATTTTGAATTTTCTATTTTCTATTCCTAATTATATTTTGGATTTTCTATTTTCCATTTCCTATGATATCTTGCATTTTCTTCGAGCTATTTTCAACGTTCTATTTCCTATCGTATCTTGCAATTTTCAATTCCCTATTGTATCTTGAAAAAATTCAGCGATCATCACCTTAAACAAACAAAAATACAAACAATAAGTATCGTACAATATTATATTCTCTTTGAACAGCTTGAACACATGAAAAATCGCTTACAAACCTAGCTAATGAGTCACAATCATAATCGAATCATTCAGAAACAATATTTCCCTTAAAGCACCGCCGTTCTCAATTCTGCATCAACGAACATCATTGACATTTCCCGACACTATCGGGTCGATTTGAGCGAAATGCTCGGCCGCTGCCAAACCGCAGAGAGTTACGAGGTGCGTGAACTTCGATGTTAATACAATTAATAGTCTAGATCTAAATAGATCAAGAATGGCAGCGGCCGCTCCTGCCCAAGGACCCTTGTTAACAAATCCCTCGCTGCGTACAATAATATCGCGGCTGCCCTTGTCATGCAAATCCGCTTGATGTTTATTACTGCCGTCCACCTAACGTCCACGCCAAATTAATGGCCACCATACATAACACCTTTAGAGAAACTTGCCTACTACTATTGCTGCACGAATAAACGTGACGGATGGTCGTCCTTACAAACTGAGAACGCACTGTGCTAGACAGAGGATTCAGCATTTGTTTCTATTCCAAACAATTTGAACATTTTCTGGCTCAGTTATTATTTTTTATTGTGGTTATTATAGCTATTATATATATTATTTTATATCACAGCTGTTACTTTATATCATTTTATATTATATTTATTATATTTTTAGTAATATATTACTGTTATTATAATAATATAATAACTACAATGTATTACTACAAATATAGTAAATGTAATATAAAATGATAGTAATATAATAATATATAATATTATATAATATAGCAATACATAAATATATATATAATATAAAATATAGCGATATGATGAATAAAGTGATCTGATTAATGATCGACGATTACAATTCGTTAGTTATGGCAACTAATTTGTTATAGTTGCAATAACTAACGAATTGTAATCGTGGATCATTAATCAGATCACTTTTTGCCCACTCGGGTTTGTATTTAAGGGTGCTCTGACCCGAACGCGGACAAATAAATGAAACCGAGAAGTTTCGAAGTCGATTCGTCTCGTGTGGGTTCTCTCGCAACGGAGACCGGACGGTCGTCGGAAATTGGAGTTTTTAATAACATTCGTTGGGTAACAGGATGGGGCCAGAGGCGTAACGCGTAATTTTGAGCGTGGCTCGCCCGGACGAGCCTCGAATTTGGAGTCGTCGGCCGCTGCCTTCTTCCTCGACCCAGTTTCCGACCGCGGGAATAGCCGAGCATATCCGCGATTTTCTTATTGCAACGCGTTTCTGGGAGGGTCGTGCCATGCCATGGCGAAATATCCGCGAGAAATAGCCGGCACGGGCCATCCAACCCGGCGATTCACCACTTTCAAACGCTTGCGCAACGGTTTACGACCGGTGCGCTCGCGATCCAGCCTTTTTCCGGTTCACCCGGTCGTTTTTGCACTCTGTAACTACTCGGTGTTATGGAGTCGTTGAGCTTTTGCCACTGACTCACCGGCGAATGTGAAAATTTATCACTCGAGATCGAGCGATTCTCCTGGAAATTCGAAAACCGATGACAATATGAAATCGAAGATTTCTCCTGTTTCAACTGGCGAAGCTGTTAGAACGATCGTTACGTAGAATAATTCTCTCGACACTTAGGAACACAACGGTGTGTTTTTTGTTAACTTTATGGACTTTTAAATGTGTTTAAATAATGTTCAAATTGAGCGAAGTATCCTTTAACGCGTCGAGATTTTACATCTTCTCAATTTGCTTCGACGATGAGAATTTTTCCTGCTCTGTCCGTAAACGCTGTCCGAATGTTTCTTACGTATAACGAATCCGTGGATTCTCCCAAATACAGTGGTATATTTTTTAATGCTATTATTAACATTTATAACGGCTTAAATTCAGTTCGAAAGGGCAGAGAACGTAAAATCAAAGTTCAGAAGAAGAAAATCATTTCCTCCGCTGCAACCTTGAAATTATGCGAATTCTTCCTACGTAGAACAATTCTATAGACTCTCGCGAATGCAACGGTATATTTGTCGTCGATTTTATAAACATTTGAGTACGTTTAAACAGAACCAAACGTTCTGCAACGCGTTAACTTTCTCAAACGCCTTTTCATTTTTCTGCGACAATAAGAATTTCTTCCGTCTCAACCATAAACCGCAAGCAGATAATTTTTACGTCGAACGACTCTGCAGACTTTTCCGAATACAACAATATAATTTTCATTAACGTTATAGACATTGAAACACGTTGAAACATCGTTCGAACAGAGCGAGCAATTAATCTTTTTCTAATCAAAGACCGACGATCAATTTCGTCAATCGATTATATCAATCGATCAATTTGTTGCAATCGTAAGTATCGAGCAATCGATCGATCGTGAAACTTTAGTCGACTAACAAGCAACTCTGGTTTAATTTCTACAGCCGCCTCAAAAGCGACAACTTAAATGTTTCGCCACAACGGAAGCGACTACGCGTTCATCCATCTATGCTTCTGAACAAATAATCGAAGATCTCGTTAACAGCAAATAATCCGCGATCAATCCACAAGCGAATCCGCGTGCAGCGCGGAATACGTGGCGAGGGTAACAATTACAAGAGGCGCTTGCGAAAATAGATCCGCAAGCACGGCGACTGACTTCGCGAGTGGCGAACGAACCTTGGATGAACATGACGTAAAACGCCTCGTGGAGACATGGACAAGCCTCTGGCGGCTCTGTGTGCGTCCGTTTCGACGTTCTGCGTTACAACGTTTCCGTGGAATCTCTGTTCGAAATGGTTCCTTTCTCCAATCATCGCTTCCGCGTTCCTACCGGCACGAATTTTCGCCGAACGTTCCAATTGATCCGCGATTTTCCGCATCCATATCTTCGACTTTCATCGATGTCTTCTGATTTTCATCGTAATTCTCCGATCTTTCCGCTATCTTTGTATCGTATTGTTAACGTTTATAACGTCTATAGGATGCACAGAATTTTAAATGCGAGGAGATGTATATATTAACGAGGTTTAATGGCATTTTTATTTTATTCTTGCAATGAATGATCTTTTAATTGGCGAAGTATACTTTCCTTTAGTTCTCGTGCTTGTAACGCGAGAATTTAAATTAAATCTATAGTTTAATGGTGCAGTTTAATTGTTCTTACATGTTGCATATTTTAAAAGTTAGAACAAGTTCGGACAAATTATCTTATAAATTCTATTATCATTTTTGAATAAGATTCTGTTATACATTTATTATTATATATTTATTATTATGTATTATTATATATTATACATTCATTATTATATATTATTATACATTATACATTTATTATTATATATTTATTAGACATTTTTATATAAAATGTTGACACGTTGTTACAAAAAATTGCATAATTCCTACACAAAATTTGATTATTCATACAAAACACGTAAAACACGTAGCTTCGAAAAGCTCTAAAAATGAAAAATTGCAGGAAAATGCACACGATGTGAGAACTGTAGGTACATGCACACAGCAATGGTATAGAATGTGTATTGATTTCGTGAAATGTGCTCGCACGAAAGACTTGAAAAGTGTTGAAAGAGATCTCCGACTTAAAACTCTGGATTTAGATTTCTCAAAAACCTGCAAGGTGTCAAGCAATTTCGCGTTAATCCGAGCCCCTTTGTTACCAGACGCCACAAAAATAACTAACGCTTCCCGTGATATGTATAAAACGACTATCAAGCTAAACCCAGAAGCAGAGCAATAATAATTTATGGATATGTACCGACAACGAGACAAAGAACTGTTCATAAAAATTTTAGTACATTTTCAATCCGTAATTTTTCCCAAGGTTTGCGAACACTTGGATTTTTATTTCGTACACAAAATTATCCAAAAGTTACCTACCACCATTTCCTGTATTTTACTTAA